GTTAGTGCAGGACATTATCAGTGTCTTCACTATAGCTGCAGTGGTTTTTATTCTCATATTTCAAAGAACCAACAGGTAGAGCTTTCTTTTTTTGTTAATTGCGAGGACTGTGTTTCCGAACGGGGAGGGGAGAGGTGGTGCAAGATAGTAAGATTCCATTATCACTGGGGATCCAAAATGCTAGGTGCACCCTCTCACTTCTTACTGTCTTACACAGAGGACCAGGGTGCTAGGTGGGACACATGAAAATGGAGAACTTTGTTTCTTCTTCTCTTGGAAAGATCACACCAGATGCATAGATTGTAATATATAATTTTCAATCATTCCTGTCTTTAGAAGGTCAGAATGTTTTCATTTATACCCGTTGTATTTATAGTTTCTGAGGAACGTGGAGAAGAGAACCTTTAGATGAAAGAGCCTTTAGATGAAAGAAAAGTGGACTCAATTTTCTGTAAAAAGCATATCAGTTTTGCTTGCTGTTTCTTTGAGTGTATTTTTATTTGCTTTGGTGGGTTAGGAAGAGTTGAAAATGGTTTCTTTATTATCGTTAAAACCATGTAGTACATGGCTGACTCTTACAGAATTGAAATTTCAAATGTAAGTGTTGTTTGCTGCCTACTGGACATCAATGTGACACCAAATGCTATTCCTTAAAGCTAGTGCAGTCTCTAGGAAGCCATGAGATGTTGTAGCTCTATCTAGGGTTATGATCCTGGAGTAGGTACTTCCATGTATTCCAGAGCACAATGAAGTCATTTGCTGGTTGTCATATGTGGGGAGACACTAAGATCAAAGGATACAGAATGAGGTCGGTAATTAGCATCCACTTGCACTGCCTATCAAAACATAGATTTGTCTCAAAGAGTAGAGTTGTTTGATCACTGACTTTTGCCTGAGAACTATAAAAATCCCAGTCCTTTGATCAGAAATCCTCTTCTCTAATCCTAGCGATGGGACCAATCTCCAGCACTCAGTGCTAGGAATACAGCAAGCTATCTGATTTTCAAGTCAAAACAATGACTTGCTAGAGAGAAAAAATCCTGAGTATTTAGTGCACCCACTTTGGAAGTTTACTGAAACAATGGCTTTGCATTGTGAGATTCGAAAAATAACCTTGAAAGAATATGTAGAAATGTGATAACATGTATTATTCTTCAGAATAAGTGCTGCAGCCATTGAGGCTGACACAGGAGTAAGCAAGAAGCAGGAAAGGCTTGTAATTGAATCTAGACCATCCATTGTCATACTGTCAGAGGGCCACTTTAAAACTAGAAAAGCCAAGGCTAGCTGTGGTGGCAAATGCCTTCATTCCCACTACCCTGAGCAAGGAGGCAAGCAGATCTCCATGACTTTGAGGCCATCCTGTTCTATGTATCAAGTTCTAGGGCTCTGTGTAGCAAGGGCTACACAGTGAGACCATAAAAAGAAAAAACTCACAAAAAATCAGCATAAAGAATAGTCTGCCATCTGGGCAGTGATGGTGCATGCCTTTAACCCCAGCATTTGGGAGGCAGAGAAAGGAGGATCTCTATGAGTTTGAGGCCAGCCTGGCCTACAGAGCGAATGCCAGGACAGGGCTACACAGAGAAACCCTGCCTCAAAAAAAAAAAAAAGCAACAACAAAAAAAGAACAGTCTTCCAGACTATTGGGTTTCATGTCCATATCCTCACCCTATTAGAGTTAGCCTTAAACCAGGAAAGACTACTAAATATTTGGGCTTATGCATGATTTTTAAATGCAGTTTAAAATGTCACAACATTTTTGATGTCTTTTGGTAATAGTGAGTCTGTGGGCCATGTGTCTTGTTTGTTCAAGTTTGACCCAAAAATAAAATAAAACAGTGAGTGCTGTGACTACTCTGTTTTACCACAGCATCACACACACACACACACACACACACACACACACACACACACACACACACACTCTAGTCCCACCTTTAACCCTCTACTATCAGTCTCTGTAACAATGAAATTTCCCTTCCTGAATTTGAATGAAAACAATCAGAAGTTTGACAACTATCATTCCATGTCTATTTAAGAAGCCCACCCAGGACTTTGACCTAGGGAGAGTTTATAGGTATCAACCTTTCCATTTGGTAGAGACTGTCCTCCCTGTTTCCTGTTTTCTCTTTTCATCCTGTCTTTGGCTGTCTCAGCACTGTCCTCTGTGGCTACGCTGACACCATGGACCTTAAAAAAGAAAAAGGACACTGAACCAAAACACTGTGAGATCGTGGAAGTCATTCTAAACACAAAGAACAAATAGCACATTTATGCCACCATCCTGCACCACTCACCACAAGAGCCATAAGGGATACTTAGGGCATTGCACTAACTGCTTAAGAAAAGAAATCAAAACTTTATCCCAGCAACAACTCAGAGAAGGGGCAGAGCCTGCACAGGCACTTTTCTGTCATGTCTCTAGCCTTCCCTACAGCAATCTCTTGGCTCTCTTAAGCAATCAAATTTTGTTTCCTTTTTTTGAATTATGAAATTCATTTTTATTTCAGAAAACACTCTAAAGTTTGAAGAAAAAGGCCTAGTTAATTACTAATTCTGTCAGAGAAATGCTTTCAGCATTTTGTATAGAATCTTGAAGATTTTGTTCCTCAAAGACTTCACACATGATTGTAGAAGACAAGTCATTTTGTCCGAAAGGTCTTTGCTCCTGTCTTCTGCCTCCCACCCCACACCCTGTTTCTTTCTGGCATCTGTGTTTTCACCTTTTCAATGTTTTGTTTATTTTTCTTGGATTGTAAGCAATGTTATATAAAGGAAAGCTGGGGGCACTTGACTCTCATAATCTTTCCTCACATTATTGTCTTTCAGCAGCCTTCTCCTCCCCCTTTCACATCTCAGCTTCCCTAAGAGACCATGAAGCTCCCACCATCTTCACTCCCTGTGGCCAGTGTGCCCAATCATTGCATATGGCTTCCATCTTTGCTTCTCTTCCTGTTCATTAGTGACTTCTGGTACCTCACTCAAGGAAATGCAGTTCACACCCTAACCTCCATAACACTTGGTGTTCTCCACTTATTCTCCCTCTCACCCTTTAATGTGCCCTCTACTTTTGCTTATTTTTAAAGTAGAGCTGTCCTCTAGGTTTCTGAGTTGAGTCCTCATTTCTTCTGTCTCATGAGCTCACCCACCCCTGCCATTTTCTTATACACCTACCTGTATGCATAGCCCTCTCTCTCTTCTTAGGTATGGATGCACATGTCCAAATGGTCAACTAGATGCTTTGACTTGGCAGAACTTTACAAAGATACCACAAACCCATCAGCAACCTTGTGTGTGTGTGTGTGTGTGTGTGTGTGTGTGTGTGTGTGTGTGAGGGTGTGTGTGTGTGTGTGTCGTGCGTGCGTGTGCGCTGTTTTCCTTACCATTTCTGGTTGTTAATCAATCTCTGATTGTGGTGGGTGTAGAAGGACAAAGAGTAAAGAACTCTCTATAAGTGAGTGTATATCATTCCTTCTAGTTTAACAGTAAAGAGAAAGGAGAAAAGTGCATGTGAGGAAATCACTTTCTAAGTAAGGGAAAACCTAAGCAATTCTGTGGGCAGTTGGAAAAATGGTGGTAGAGAAGAGATTAAAGATAGGAGACACTGGAAGACAGGAATCCATCCCATGACATCTCTGAGGCTGAGAGTAAAATGGGAATGGGAAAATCTTAGCTCCCTGCCAGTATATTGTTAATTCTCTGTATGACTTTTGCTTTGATGAATCTATGCCTGTTACATATCATGAAGCAGTAACTAAATAACGATAAACCATTTTGAAGTGCTTATATGAAACATTTAACTTTTACATTCATTTTGACATCTATAGGTAGGCAAATTATTGGAGACAATTTATCCTATTAGATGAACAAAGCATCATTCCTTTTCCTTTTCAAAACTTCCTATATGAGTCTCAGTCCTCATTAGTATGAAGAATACGTTTAATTCAATCCACAAAGAACTGATATCTTTCTATTGAAACTCCTTTTTAATATTTTTGTAATCCTGGGGGTTGAATCCAGGGCCTCACGTATGCTCAGTAAGTGTTCTATCATCAAGCTACATCCCCAGCCTGAAGACTTATTATTATTATTATTATTATTATTATTATTATTATTATTTTATTATTATTATTTCATATTTTGAAACAAATTTCTTCACTTGTGGACTCTCTATGGTATCAGCTTCTATTGATATGGTTGTAGTTTTGCCCAGTCTTTTCCATATGGAATAATTTCCCCAATACAACTTCCCAAATGTAGTGATTTATTTAATGAAGGTGAAGACACCCGTTTTTCAATTCTACTTCTGAGGAAAGAAGGAAGGAAGGAAGGAAGGAAGGAAGGAAGGAAGGAAGGAAGGAAAGAAAGAAGGAAAGAATGAGGGGGTGGGAGAAAGGAAGGGTGGAGGGACAGAGGCAATGCATAGGGGTGAGGAGAGGGTGGAAGTCTGAGTAGGGCAGAGCTGGGTTGCCACGTAGGCCTCTGCTTCTTAAGGAACCACAGATATGACCCGATTGAATAACATCCTGAAAGGTACCAACATGAACAAAGAACCGGCAATCTCGTTTCAGGCTAGTCAGATAGAATTCAGAATGATGTCACTCGGAATGGGGAAGATAAGAGACACTGTTTGGAGTTTCAGACATGACAGTCAGATTGGGCTCAAGGCTTCTCACAGGCAGGGAGACCCTGTTAGCAAGCTGGGACTCTCATTCTGCCTCTTACTTCTCTACCTTGAGTCCTTTCACCCTTTTAGTTCCCTGGCACTAAGGCTTCTTCCTCGGATGCAGTTATTAAGAGTGCACAGAAGTAACCACAAGCAGCCGGCCTGAGAAGGGGGATGGGGGGGCTGTGAGGGGCTCATTTCTCTGCCTCAGTTGAAACCCTCAGCTTCAGCATCTTGCCAGAGCTGTGGGTGGAGCACAGGAAGCGATTACCCTGTGGCTTCTCCTCCCACATAAGCCCCGCCCCTTCACACTTGGACAGTGGGCAGATTAGCTTTCTTCCTCCTCCTAGTTCACTCCTCTGGCTGATGTGCAAGGTCTTGCAGAAGCCAGGGACTTGTTTTCTGGGCTTGGCAAAAGTACATAGGAAGAAGCCAGGGCTTCCCGGCTGGGAGGAGGGAGGAGAGCTGAAGATCCCCGCCTTTGGCTCAGCTAAGCAAAGTGGGCAGCTCAGTGCTTGAAAGAGGATTGTGCTCGCACTAGATATCAGTAAGTGGGTGACCGTGTGAGTGCCCCTGGGTCATGGGGTAGACTTGAAAATGATGCTTGATTCTAGGGGAAAGCTGCAAGGCTGCTGTCTCTGTGTGCTTTCTGTGTCGAGTGCAGACTAGAGACTTAAGCACAAGAATAACTCCAAATGCCTCCTCTCCTCCCCATCTTGGAAAATGGCAACTTCTACTTGAGAGTAGTTATGGCCGTACTCTCCTTCCCTGAACCCTCATCCTAGGAAAGTGTGCTACTAAGTCAGACAGAGTTGGGAGTAAGTGGGAAAAGTGAAATGTAATATTAACAGAAATTGCAATCTCTATGTTCTGTATGTACTGTCATTGTTATATCTTTCAGCAGAAATTGTCAGCAAAGTCTGAGACAGGGGCTTAAATGGGGAAATTATAGTTTCTATGACCAAGAGGTGGAGTAGTCCATATGTAAGGGATTAAATACAAAATTTTTGTAATAAATAATAGATGTTTTTTTTTTTTTTTAAATCATTAAAGGGGAACAGCAGCCAGGAAGCCTAAAAGTGCATGATAAAAATTAGGAAAAGAAAATTTCACATCCATGGCTTTTTTGCAGTAGCCAAAATTGCAGGATGTTTACAAAGTCAGGGCAGTGATGCAAGAATACTTCAATTATTGTTGTACATTATTAATACTGTTGCCGGGCAAGATCTGTGGTTCTCTGGTCAGCAAGTTCTGGCAATGAAGCCACTGGCGCTGATGCAAAGAATTCTGGGATGTCTGACAGTGAAATGGATGGAAGGACTCACATTCCATCTCTACTTAATGCCCTTTTGTCCAGAAATCGGGTCATGCAGATGAACTACTTGGTACGTATACAGATCAATATTGGGAAAGGCATTTCTGAGGGCTGTGTAGCAGAAGGACTCTAGATAATGTCTCAGAGCAAACACTGGGCTAAGAGGACCCGGAAGCCAGGAGACAAGAAGTCAGCTTGGCTCAAACCAAACTTGTTCATTTTGCTTTCCATCCATCTTGAAATGGAATCGCAGATGAAGACAAGAAAGATATCTGAGAGGAACACTGGGACCATTCATTCTGTCCTAAGTTTATTGATGTGTGGATGAAGTTGGAGGACTTTATTTGTGCATTTCAATACTTGAAGTGTCTGACCTCTATATTACAGTGAATGACACAAAATAAGAGCTATATTTATGAAGAGGGAGAAATGTGAGAATTTATATTTTGAAATGTTATAAAGAGGAGAAAAAGACTATGTTCTGCAGCATAAAGAAGTCTATCATAGCCACTGATACGCAGGACCAGTGCTAATAGGACACCATATTAGAAACGTAATTCTCTTAATTCTCCTTTGTGTGCATAGCATCCAAAGCAAAGAAGTTTTTGTTTGGTTGTGTTCTGTTTTGTTTTCTACTTTGGATAACAGAAAAGTCCATAATGGCCTTATCTCCATTTGTCATTGGTATGAAAGAGTCCCATTACACTTCCATATTCCCACTGGGAAGAAAAAAATGAAATATCTTACCATTTTTCTGCAGCACAGCTGTGAAATGATTGTTGTGGTCGGACTCCTTTTCCAACCTTAGGATTTGTATTTGTAAATTTTGCTGTAGGGAAGATGGGGAAGGAGTGCTCATTAGGACCAGTCACAACAATAAAATCATAAAATGGCACTAAATCGCACCTGTAGATATTTTTGTACTCTCCAGCTTCACAAACTACCTAAATTTGAAACTTACATTATCTGTTAAAATTACTTATTTGCAATGTTAGCATTCATGTGATTTATTGAAAAATTAAAAATCTGAGGGTTTGTTGTCTGAGTTATATAATACTTCTCTTAGTCTTAAAATATATAAGGCATTAAAATATAACATGTGATAGTTGACATTTTAAGAATAGGATAATTCTAAATGAAGTTTCTGTTCCTGAGAAAAATGTGCTAGCTAAGAGTCTTCAAAGAACTGCTTGTTTATCTCAGAATGTTAGAGAATCTTTGCTGAAACTATAGAATAAAACAGAATATTGAGAAGGGACTGAAGGCATACTTTGGATGCAAGAGGATAAACAGAGTCATTGCATAGTATAAATAAGATGGTGGTTTGCTATACATAGAGAATGATGCACTATGACTAGTGAAAGGGTTAAATAAAGAGTTTTGTCTTTAAGAATTATTAAGTGGGAATTAAGATTTTTAATGAAAAGAAACTAAATTATATTTAAAATTGTTCTTTCACAAGAAAAGTAAAGAACAAGGCTATGGAAAGCTAAGCAGTGATGAAGACCTCGAAATAATTGTTGATCAGAAGCAGGTAAGTGAACACTCCGTATGTTTCCTGTTGCCAGTAGACTTTGACCTAGTAGCCCTTTGGTTTCAGAGACCTTCCCAACAGCGTTTTTAGCCTGTCTAACTAAAGCTGTTATTAATGGAGATTTGGGTAACGTCAAAGTATCCCTCATCTCTGCCCCACTGATTTGTGCGTGGTGCCAGCATGTGTTTCCTGTGTGTGAAAATAAGTAATAAAGCACGAAGCAAGGCTGAAAGGAGAGAATTCTGCGGACTCAATACAGTGAATCAAAATAACAATTTGATTGAGAAAAAAAAGGTTTAAGTAAGAGCTAGGAAGCATACTTTCTTGAAAATGAGAAACACTATCATTGGCGGGTCTTGCAAAACAAAGTATGACTGGGGGGGAGAGTAGTAAGCAGCGGGAAAATTTGAGTTATTTAAACTTAGATCTTGCCCAATTTAGTTTCTTTTTGTCTGCAGTAAGTGTCGAGGTGATTTGAAATGAAGAGATTGCTGTATAGTCAGATACGCTGCTCATAATTTGAAAAGTCTCTAGGTTGGATGTTATACTGGCCCATAAAGTGCAATGAAAACGGCTTAACAGAGCATAAACAATGACACAGCAGGGAGTGGACAGTATCCAGCCAGAACACTGGCTTGGCATTAGCCCTTAACATCTTTGTTAATTATCAAGGAGACAAGATAACCGCCAGTCTACTTAACATACATGTGGCATTGTCTCTGAGGGCGGTGTCAACAAAGTGGTAATTAAAAAGTCTGAGCTAATGAGGACATTAGAAAGTAGCCACTGGCTTACAGAACAGCTGCTGAATTTGGACAACTTTTTCATCATGTAGTTGGTTCTGCTTCATGGTGATTACAGTAAGGGAACCTCTCTCTCTCTCTCTCTCTCTCTCTCTCTCTCTTTCTCTCTGTGTGTGTGTGTGTGTGTGTGTGTGTAAAAATGGGGAATGGCTACCAAGAGGTAGCAATGAGAAGTCACTAGGTTAAGTCGTGCTTGTTAGAATGATTGGGGTAACTGAAGGGATCATCTGGAAGATGCTGGCTGGGCAAAGCATTTCCATGAAAGTTCGTGGTGTACAAGTCACCATCCATGTGCTTTGTGCCCCACTGTCACTCTGCTGCCCCTGTGTACAACAGCATAGGGGTTTGAGGGTCTGGCCTGCACTTGGTCACTTACTGCTAGATTGTCAGTTTACCTACTAAGGTATGTGGAGCCGCAGGTTTCGTCTTTGTTATTTTAATTCTGCCAGATTAATTACTTGGGACTTGCACTCTAGACCTCCCATGGACTGTGATTACCATTAAGGACTGGACCTACCTGACAGACTAGTAAAGGATGAGTGAGTGCACCATGAGAAACACACACACACACACACACACACACACACACACACACACACACACACAAAGCTTTTAGTTTCTTCTTTTTAAGCTTTGTGTTTTTAACCAACACTGTTGACATTCACAAAACTCCAGAATTATTTGGTTTTGTATTTTTGATGAGGAGTTAAAGGAAGTTAGTCTTCATTTTCCCATGCTGACTTTCCACAAATTTATATTGTGATGACCACATACTTCCAGTGCAGTCACACAAGTTGGAGTGAACCAGCACTGATGAGTTATTCCTGTTAAAAACTTGTTTCAAAATGTGACAGATTTGAGTACCTCAGCTTAGGAGCTAGCTGCTGGCGGTGAAGAGTCTGCCCTTGTTCCAGAGGTTTGGGGTTTCCGAGTTTTGAGTAAATCCTAGGTTGAAGCAATGGCAATGTTCACACCCACAACTAAAATATCAAGGAAAACACTGAAATTATTCCAGGAAAATTACCCCTAAGATTAAGAGACAAACAATTAAGCATGTATGTGGGTACATGCATGTGTCAAATGCTCCAGAAACATAGTATATTGCATCCCTATATATTGTTTTGCCGATAATCTATATGTGGAACCCGTATCTTCAAAAAACATGGAGGAAATTTGTTTGTCAATCTTTGTATAACTCCAAGTAACTTTTCTAGTGAGTGATACCAAAAGAAAACCTAAGGAAGATAAGTAAAATAATTGAAGGTCTGTGATGGGCAGAAGTCAATGATCTCGTTAAATCTGTCACTCAGCTGCTGTCATACTGTAAGCGCAGTGCAAGCTATATGTCAGTTCATCAGTCAGGTGATCCACAAGGCTTCTGCTTCCACAGAGAGACCAATCTTGCTTATGTAAGCACATTAATAGCAGAAGCAGCATGCAGGATGTGGGCTTGCCATCCAGGGCCACTGCTTTCAAAAGGGCACAAGCTGTTGCTGGGTCATGTTGAAGTAGGAAAACAGAATAGATTTTGGAAATGTATAAGGATTTTGCTTTTGAAGGGCAATATTGTACTTCTGACTTTGTGAAAATTTCTTAGCAAATTTGATTCATAATGCATATTTTAAAAGTCACAGAGTATTCTTAAACCAGTACCCTAAACTAATAGGCAATATATGTTCATATATATGTATACAAATATTCACATAATTAAATATGAATGTAGTGGGAATCAGACTTCATATTTATACTTGATATCACCAAAGGTTTTATGCTTCAAACAGAAAAGTAATGAAAATGAACGATTGCAATCAAATCTTAATGACCTTAAACTCCAAACATTTGCCATAAACATAACTATACTTAGTGAATGCCATATAAGACAAATTCTAAAAAATGAATAAATTCTAAAAGAGAAATCGCATATATGTATATACCAATCAGTTTATCATCAAAGTATTCTTTCTTCATTGGAGAAGACAAGGGTCTTGATTGTAAATTAGTCTCAAGTAAACATAAATTATTTCCTGAAATTACAGCCATTTCAGGAGTGAGACTGGATAAATAGATGGGAAAGTACCTTCTGAGAACTTACAGCCTTAACCACGTTGAATAAATAATGAATTTGCTCTATTTTAAATGGCTGTTTCAATTGGATTCAGCTTAACTCAAGGTGTCCCTATGTTGGTGTCTAAGATATTTTCAGATTCCAAATAGACTTGAAAGGAGTAACAAAGACAAACATAATAAGTACAGAATTTTGTAGTTTTATGAAGGATTAAAAGCTACAGGTTTGAGCATTGCAAAAATGCATGCACACAAAGCTTGAGTCTGGTTGATTCTGGAACGCAAAGGAAGATGGCCCTGTGTTTCTTGGTGCACCAAGTGCGAAAATGCTAAGTATCAGCCAGTTGCTGGGGAGCACAAACATCAGGTCAGGGCAGCAGTCCTCAGCAGTTTGGGTACCTAGGGAGCTTCCTGGGCTAACCCCATTCATTGCTAACTTTGTGATTCAAGGTCGGGCCTGAGAGTTATATTTCTAATTCCTCCACTACTGCTGATGTTTTCAGAGCACACTCTAAGACCCAGGACCTGGGAAAACAGCTATTACAATTCTGAAATAGGAAAAAGACATGGGACAGGTAGCAAATCTGGCATTCTTCAGATGATCCATTAGCTGGAAAAAACAGAATCCATGGATGCTGAATGCAGTGGTACCTGAAAAAGAGATCACCATGGACACTTACAACAATGGTGCCTCAAAGACCCAAGCCTGCAGTTGATTGAGTTCCCTGTGGTAACCCTTTTGGTCTTGAGCCCAATAACTCACATTTCTTGTTTGTAAAGTAGTACCCTGTTCTTCCCATCTAAGAGTTTATTGGAGGTAAAATCTGTTAAAGGCTCCATAAGGCTTAGACTGTGTGTGTTGTGTGCATGAGCTAGGCTGCCATGTACTCGCCCCGCTCCCTTCCAGCACACACAATTATCAAGCCGGAACCTTGAGACCTGAGTGATGAATGGACTTTCCCAGAGTCCCTAGTTTGGTACCTAGAGCACTGAAAGCCATAGATCCCTGATGTGGTCCAAGCTCTGTGCCCTCTGCACCATTACTGGTTGTCCTGTGGATTTGTTGAGAAATGATTTTGCCTTTGTGGTCTACTTATATAAAATCACTACCTGGAAGCTATCACAATTGACTACAGTCTATTATTCAGCTCTCACTAGGATACATTTCCCACAAACACTTGACAACTGTCTACTTCCCTCTTGGCCTCTAGGCATTCCAGAAAAGAAAGGTTCTTCCAAACAAACAAACAGATAAAAGACCTAGGCAAAATGAGAACTGCAGAATGACTGTTGAGACCACTTGCTTTTTCTCCCAAACCTCCAAGGGAGGACTCCAAGCATATGACAATCAAGACAACACACGTTTTTACCTAGTCTGAAACTTTTCTGAATCTCTTGAAAACTTGTGAGAGAATCCTGAGCAGGAAGCAATGCACATTGTAAGGATTCAGGTATTATGATGGCCTGCCCCTGTCACCTGGCAGAGTGCACTCAGGCAGTACTCTGGTCAGCCCAGAGTTCCATGACTACTAGTCTGCACACAGGTACAAAGGACCCCTTTAAAAGACAGACCTCTGCCCACTTATGTGCTATTCCTGACCCTTCTCTGTCTCTGCTCTCTTCTTTCAGCTGTTTTTCCAGCTCTCTTCCGGCTCTCTCTTCCTACTCTTCCCCTGGGGCAGACAGGACGTTTCCTGTCTCCCTCTTCTCTTCTGTCCTCTCTGTGTCTCTTTACCTCTTTTCTCTTTCCTTCCCCCTCCCTCCCCTTTCTAACATAACTTCTCACTTAAGCTCTGTCTGCCTGGCATGTTTGTCCCCCACCTCAATCACCCTTGCCTGCCATTGTCCTCTACCCAAGGTCCCCCTTCAAGTATTATCCTAACACACATCAGAACTATTTTCCTAAAGACAAGAAATGGAGTAGAATTGTCCCTTGTGTCTCCAACAGCTACAAGCCTTTCAGTAGGATTGCAATCTGCCCTGCCCTAGTGGCTCCATGGAAATAAATTGTGTAAGGGAGATCAAGGCCAACATCAAATAAAAATGAAAGAGCAAGACCCAGCTTCCTTCTGGCACTAAGAGGTAGCCTGTTCTACCACCAGCTGACTCAAGCCTTGGACTCATAAATAGTAA